CAGTTTCAGAGCAAATTTGTTTAATTTGTTTAATATTTAACATAAGTAAGCAAAAACAACAATTTTATTACTTGTTGTAGTTTGCTAGTTTTGGTTTCATTCTGTCATAGTTGCCTATTTATTTAATTATTTATTAAATTCTACACATTATTTGTATAAATATAATAATGACTGAATTATAATTAAACCAATAGTTAATTATATTAAACTAATATTATAAAATATATTAATTTATTTATTCTATAAATACCCATTTCTTTCCCAGAACAATAGTATTTATAATCCAAAGAAAACGTGTACAAGCTATTTCCGCAGAGCGATATTGTCGCGAGAAAAAACCTATTACAAAGGAATTCAAACAACATTTTTCTTGAGTAAATTACAAAATAAGAAAATGTTACCACATAGACTGCGAACTTAGGCGTCGGGGCAATAAGAAGAAATATCGTAATAAACATTTTTGCACACCTCAAATATTTTGCATTATATTTGTTGTATGTGAAGGAAAAATATATGTTAATTGATTTAAGAACAAAACTGTTTTATTTATTTTATCAATTTTAGCAGAAGAAGTATTTAGACTTAAAATAATTAAGAGAACGGAACGTGTTCAAGAATACGTATATATATCAAGTATGTCTTGGATTAAAAGAGAAAATCATAAGTACAAAGAAATCCAGACAAGACATATTAGTATGGTATTTACTACCTGTCATCATTAGGTGCACTTAAATTCTCGCTAGCTTTAAAACCTCTGTTGAGTTCTACGGTCTCTTCCGGGGGGAAAGGGATTGTTAGTAATGCGGACTATCAGTCCTGTTGCTAGCAATATACTCCTTCAGGTCAACCTCCACGTGGTCCCCCCCCTGGAAACACTTTACTTTTAGCGCAGGCGAGGTTACCATCCCATTATCATATATTGAATCGTCTATCTCTTCCTTTATGTACTATTTTCTCGTGTTCTCTCTTCATCTTCTATTTTCATTCTCTCCTATTGTATTATCTTCCTACCCTTACCCTAATTATTATTTGGAGTCAGCGTTATATGATTTTTACCGTATTACGAAAAGATTTAGCGATATGATAGTGCGTCACCTACCCTTTTTTCTCAATGTCCTCTGCCCAAAGATTGTCTAGAAGAGATTGCTTAGCGATAAGGTCGCCTTTTGTATCACTTCTCATTTATATTAACTATATTTATTATTTTATAAATGATGTAACAAAGTGTAAAATAAATTAAATATAGGTTCAGTAAGAGAGTAAACCCGATCGATTGCAAAAAAAATGTCAGTTGTAAACAGCGCAGAAGATATTATTTTGCGAATTGATTGAAACGTATTCGCAAATGAAATTAAGCATTTAAAAAATGCCTTATAACATTTAATTTATAAGAACGAACTAAATAAAATGCACGTATAAAATTTCTAATTCGAGTTACATCAAGATACCGTACACGAAACCCCAAGTAATTAGGTTTATTAATTTATACTTCAAAACACGAAAATAATTTGACTTTATTTCGTTCTTCACTTCCGTCAATTTGCTACACCCTTTAATCGTGTACGTAAATAACTTTTCTATGTATCTTGCTTTAACATATTACTACGTTTTTTTTCCTCTTTTACATTACCATAGATTGTAACAGTACAGATAGCCAAAATATCTCGCTTTTTAACTTCAAAAAAATCTCAATGCGGTTGTATTTTTTTATTGTTGTTATCTCATAACTTTGGCATTTTTAAATCGAATTAGAAAGTTTTTTTATGTCAAAGGATTACTTACAGATTGGCCCCATATTATTTTTATCAAAATCAATTCAGTGGTTTAAATTTTAACTAACATAACTGGTTCCGTCACAATTGAAGTCGGTTTTTTTGTAAAACTTAATCTTTAGTTATATAGGAGAGTAGAATGATATTGTGGCATTGCGTTCGGAAATGTTTGAGGTTAGATAAAAATGATATGATTATATTAATCAATACTTTGCTCAGTAGCGTACCATTTGGGGTCTGTGGTAAATCCCCACAGTGATGGGGCCCTATCAGTAAAAATAAAATACTCACGTATGTAAACAAAATCTATAACAGAGTATTTTGTTTCGCCCATGATACCACCCATGCGTTGCCATTCCTGAGGAGTAAGGTGTTATTCCTCTGTACCCTGTAAATTCACGCCATATCCCACCCTTCAAACCGAAACACAGCCATGCAAACACAACTGCTTTTCGGTTGAAACACGAATGAGACAGAGGTACTCAAGCAAACGATTTTTGTACAAAGTCTCCCTCTGGTAGTAACAAATAAACTCACTTTCCGTTTATAACATCAATAAGGATTTCAGCTTTTAAAATGTTACCGATTTATTGTTATCTTTAAGGCGCTTGTTCACAGTTTTCGCGGTCGCAACACGGGGCCCCCGCTAAACTTTCCAGCGGGAACATAAACATGCTATATTTTTACCGCCTTGTTGTCCCACTCATTACAATAAAGATAATTTTCTCTTTAGCCCTCGTTATCGTACTTTTATTTCGCGACAGGGTATTGTCATATACTTTTTTATTAAAGTCAAGTGAGTGACGCTTATTGTAAATTAAAGATGCGACTGTCAAATGCGCTGTCGACGGTTCTAAGAACAAGGAATTACATAGAAGGAATGATAATATAAGTAATAGATTAGTAATAGAGACTATCGGCACCATTGCTAACAATATACCCTGTCTGTTTATGGGATTTTAATGGAATTATAACCCCACCTGCGCGGGGGGGAAAGGGGTCTAATTGACCCATTGCTAGCAATACACCCTATCAGGTCGACCTCCACGCGGTTCCCCCTGGAAACCGTCGTGATTAATTCTAGTGGAATTCGTCACGATGGGCTAACTGACATGCCTCTTCATCCTCACCTGTCATCTATCACTAGTGCCCCGTCAGCGTATCCCGATAGCGCAGGCGGGGTTACCATTCCATTATCACCTAATAAAAATAAAAAAAAAACCCACCTGCGCTATTGGTATACGCTCGCGGGGCACGAGTAAGGGGTGACAGGTGAGCTTGAAAGCAATCCATCGTAACGAATTCCACTAGAATTAGCTACGACGGTTTCTAGAGGGAATCGCGTGGAGATCGACCTGACAGTGTATATTGCTAGCATTGGGGCCGCTAGTCTCAATTACTATCAATCTCTTTCCCCCAATATACTCTGACAGGTCGAAATGATAGAGTTATGGGGCACAAATATAAAAAAAAAAACTCCAAATTTAGATATCTCCTTTTTGAAGTCGGTTCGGAAAAAAGATACCTGGACTACAGCCAATTGTTTGTTTAAATGTGGTAAATAGAAAGCTATTTAACAGGTTTATTTGTATAAAACTATATCCTGGATTATCGTAAAGCTCGCTAGCATAGTTCGAATCACGTCGCTCGTCGCTTCAGGAAACAAGGGGATTATTTTGTTATATATATATATATATATATATATATATATATATATATATATATTCTTTATTGCACTACGATATACAGTAACAACAATAAATTAATAACAATGTTAGCAAAGGCGAACTTATCTCTAAAAGAGATTTCTTCCAGTCAACCTAACACAGTGGCATAGGAAGTAGTGAGTGGGCAGTAATAGTGCTAAACAGAAGTTAAAATAAATATTTACATAAATTACAAATCATTATATATATATATAATTAAATAATTATACTAAATTCTACATAAATATTGTATATTATATGCAAATCTATAATCATACATATATAAAAATAAATTACCGAATGTATGTAAGCATCTCATCAGAATGGATGAACCTAATTGGCTAATTCTTTTTGTAATTGTAATTGTTAAGACAAGATTCATGAAAGGTAATATTCGAAAAATTAAAAAAAAAAGTGAAAAAAAAATTGGTTTAAAGAATCTTCAAAGTGAGTGAATGAGTGAGAAGACAGTAGAGTCCGTGCATATCCAGAGCGATCAACTAGTTTTAAATAGTTTTTTTTGCCTTCATTCTTATCACCTATCAGCATTTAACTGTTCACTGTTACACACTGTCACATAAGCCTCTTTGGGGGGTTGGGGGTGGCCAGTAATTGCCACGCTTGGCAAACGAATTGGCAACCGCAGTTAGGCTTTGAAGATGTTTTAAGAGGAACGCTGCTACCAATCCGTCGACTATTAAATTTCCTTAGTCGCCTCTGACTACACCCACGGGCAAAAAAGGGACTATTCTATGCCAGGATCATAAGACTAAATATATACATAAGTACTCGTATTTGTTACTAAATGAATATAGAACTAACACCGAAGTGAAAAGAATTCGGAATTGACAACGTAACTGCGAAACGTGTTTGAAAATATTTTAAATGCATAACTTTGCATTTGGGATACTTAATATTTATTGTTAAGATCCAAAAACATATATAATATAATAATACCATAAACAATTTTAAATTTATTATTTAATATAGAAACATTATTGTTAATTTGGCAACACTGCCTCATAATTCCCGCTCTTTTTTCAATCAACTGTCAAACGTTCTGCACTGTACTTTGTGGTTTTCTTTATCTAAAATTAAATTAATATTAAAACTCGAACGTATTTTGATTTCTACAATTATTATTCGTTATATTATTATTGGTGTCCGAGTTGGGGGCCTGGATTCCTGAGATACAGATCTCTGATCTAGTTTAGGGTCCAGTCTCCCACAAGTTTTACAGACCATTGCAAGTATACATATATTGTAATTATATATATAATTTAGAAGACGTATGTTTCTAAATTGGCTCGGATCTGGTTATTCTTGGTTATGGCCCCAGATGTACATTGCGTGGTTCCTTATAACACAAGGTGTCCCATCTCGAGGGCCGGGTGATTAGTGTGATTGTATGACACTTAACGTTATAGACATATTGGAAAATTGCCCTTCAAACGATCCGATCCAAATTAAGAATTGAGAACCTCGTTTTCGGTATCTCATGATTTTAATATCATTGTTTCAGTCACGTCACGAGAACAGCGAATTGGCTGCCTCCAGCCGAGAGCTGGCCTATCGCGAGGGAAGGCAGTGGAAGCGGCAGCGGGAGCCAAGCAGAGCAGGAAGACGAGGACTTGCCGTACGGATGGGAGCAAGCGTTGGATAGCAGGGGCAAACCTTATTACATCAAGTGAGTAAACTTTGTCCTCAGTATGGTTTATGGAACGAGAGGTATCACAGTCGTTACAGTGTGTTCAGTGTGTGAGTGGTTTGTCTTATAAGTGACTTATGACACAATCCGCTATTATAATAGCGAATTCTGTAACCTGTTATGTCTGTGTCAGTGAATCCATAAAGACGTCGAGCGGTTTGAGTGGTCAATGATCCCATGCTAACAAACGGTTTGGATTCCCCGAGTTTGAGTCGGGATTTTGACTCTTTATCCATTTTTTACCGTCTATAGTTCTTTACCATAGAGAATGTTCCAGGGAATTATATCACCAGCAGGTCTACTCGTGAATTTAATATCGATATCAATCCAAGCCAATGACAATTTTGTACTGCACTCGTGAAATAACAGTTAGGAATTAAGTTTCTTTTTTTATACAACTTAGAATGGCAAACAAGCTAACTGCCCACCTGATGGAAAGTGGTAACCGTCGCCTGTAGACATGAACAGTACCATGGATATAACAGAGTATACTGTTTCGCCCATGATACCCCCCATGCGTTGCCATTCCTGAGGACTCAAGCGTTATTCCTCCGTACCCAGTAAATTCACGCCATATCCCACCCTTCAAACCGAAACACAGCCATGCAAACACAACTGCTTTCCTTATAGTTAGAATTAGGATCGATCTGCAGTAGTTTGTATTGGCAAGTTATATTAATTATGCATCTATCAGAACAATATGGAACGTTTACGTCGCTAGTGTTGCAATTCGTGAGTGTGAAAGGTCTTAGTTCTAATATCGATTTATTGCAATTTATTAAAATTATAACCCCACTGATGCCTTCACCTTTTCACCCTTTTACTATCGGACCTCTTGCCGTAGAGCTGGAGATTACCCTCATTTTTTGAGTGCATGGCACATTACCACTGTCTGTACATGCCGTTTATTTTTACTTCGTACATCTAGATTGTACAATGAGCTTTCGTCTTCCAAATTCCCCTTACAATATAATAATATAGGGCATTTCAAAAATGCCTACAAACATTTAAAAGACCGGTGAAGCACAAGCAACTCCTTTGCTGTTGCAGGTGTTAATAGGCGAGGGTTGCCGTGTTTTATTAGGTGGATCCTCGGTTCTTTTGCCTCTTTAACCATAAAAAAAACAGTTCATTGGCAACCTTCTATAAAGTTTTGATTAAAGTTTATTCCACCTTAGTAGATATAAATTCAGGGCTGTGATAATGGATGAAATAATATCATAATTACCTATGTTGCATATATGTACATGCACGTATATACACTACATATTTACATTTATTTATATCATACTATTATACATTTATTTATATCACACTACACATACACCCACGCATACATTTAACCCTCTTTACAATTGGTGACCATGATTTTATATTATTTAATCATTGCTGTCAATATCTGAACTTTAACAACATGAATTTTAATTATTTTATATATCAATTAACTTAACTTTATGGACACTCACTATTATATATGGTTCCTTTCATACATGTGCTTATATTACTTGCATACACCCACTCTAACTTGCCTACCTCGCTATAGAATCAAAATTTTTGTTTGTATAAGTAAAATCCGTTATTGGCTGTATTCATAAGAGACTTAGCATGTAAGTTATTTTATAAGAGCTGTGGATTTTTGTATAAAATAAAATAAAAAAAAAAAGTAATGAGCTAGATTGCTGTGCTGATTTTTGGGTGGGCGGATATTTTCTATAAATATGTTGTTGTAGGAAGCTGTAGATCATCTATTGTAATCAAAACAACGATAAGCATGTGAGATTTTGTTGGATGAAAATATCTATCACAAGATAGATGTTAATCATAATTTTTAACCGATTTCAAAAAGAAGGAGGTTTCCAATTTGATTGTATATTTTTTGTTTCTTACCGTAAATATCAGTTTGTCAGTTGACAAAGAGTCTTTTATGTCTAACTGCGTTTAGCTGTCGCATTAGAGGCCCAAAATTTTGGTCATTTTTAACCTACATTTTTTGTGAAATATATTTCATTATTCATGTAACACACTCATATATATATATATATATATAATTTATATTAAATTATTTCAATATGTTACAATAATCATGTCAAATATTTTTCACCACCACTGCCCTTCATACATATAGTTATTTGGTAGAGAATGCCATATGGCATTAAGCTCGCCACTTGTACAGTTTTATTGTGCAATAAAGAATAAATAAAATAAATAAATATTTTGTTGGCGCAAATTGAATAAAATTGTAAGCTTAATTTACAAAATTTTCCTAACTTTGTACCAGTAATTTGTTGCCAGGTGGCGTATGTTTTCTCATATTAAGAACCTTGGAATATTCTGACTAAATGAGATAACATACTTCACGTGTATGTCTGTGCGTCATTGCTATACATTACATGAATGAAACTAACTGCCTTCCAGTACAAATTGTGTGTAATTTAAGACGGTGTCGCCGAGTCGAGTTCTCGTATAGATGAATTACCTTACGTTAGCACGAATTAGTACGGTCGTAGTAAAATATTTCTATGTAAAATAATAATGCGCGACATTTACTAACGTTTGTTCAGGTGTCACCTAAAAACTACTGCACCAAATTGAATGCTGTTTTTCACTGTTGTGTTTCTGAAGGTCTAACTTAAAAACTGGGGGGGGAAGGGATTGTTAGTAATCGAGTGTAATTGAGACATTGCTAGCAATACACCCTATCAGGTTGACCTCCACGCGGTTCTCCCTGGAAACCGTTGTATTCTAGTAGAATTCGTCACGATGGGCTAACTGACCTGCCTTTTCATTCTCACCTGTCATCCCTTACTGGTGCCCCGCCAGCGTATCCCAATAGCACAGGCGGGGTTACCATTCCATTATCACCCATTAAAAAAAAAAAACTTAAAAACTGGAGTAAGTTTAAGACGTATCGAGATAAAAATATTTTGTCTTGATACATCTTCTAGAATTAGTATTTGGTTTTCTTCTGAAAGCCACGTGTAAGACAAAACTAATTAATAAATACATACACATGTGTACATTACAGTCATGTCAACAAAACAACGACGTACGTGGCACCCGAGGGCTGCTCGTGCGAGTCGCCCCCAGCCCCGAGGGACGTGGTGCTCGAGCGAGACCCCGAGTTGGGTTTCGGGTTCGTGGCTGGCTCAGAAAAACCAGTTTTGGTCCGGTTCGTAACCGACAACTCGCCCAGTGTGGGGAAGGTAAGAGAATATTTGGACATAATTATGTAAAAAAACAGTCGTCTCAAGAAAAATTTTAAATTAAATATTCCAATCTACATAATATAACTGTCACATATAAGCGGGAGCACCAAGATACCAGCTTGAACCCTTCGATTTAGTGCAACGACGAGTTATGAGAATTGTCGGTGATTCTAAGCTTACAAGCGGTATCGAACCCTTAAGTCTTAGATTTTGCCTCACTCTGCGTGTTCTACCACTTGTACAACGGACTGTACTCAGAGGAATTATTTAATATGATGCCCACAGCTACTTCTACATCTACCAGAGGGAGACTTTGTACAAAAGTCGAATGCTTGGGTACCTCTGTCTCATTAGTGTTTCTACCGTGAAGCAGTTGTGTTTACATGGTTGTGTTTCGGTTTGAAGGGTGGGATATGGCGTGAATTTACAGGGTACAGAGGAATAGCATCTGAGTCCTCAAGAATGGCAACGCATGGCGGGTATCATGGGCGAAACAGTATGTGTGTGTACTGTTATGTCCATGGTACTGCTCTAGTCTATAGGCGACGGTTACCACTTTCCATCAGGTGGGCCGTCAGCTTGTTTGCCATTCTAAGTCGTATAAAAAAAAATACTTTCTACTATCGAATAGCTTGCCATCGTCAGGGAATCCACCCCCATACAAAGAGCCTAAATGGTCGCTTACAGCGCAGTTTCAGAGATGTTTCCTCACCAGAACGCTGAGGTTATGAAATGAGCTCCCTGTCGAGATTTTTCCTAGAGAGATTACAGTATGGGGTTTCCAAAAAAGGGGTTAAGAGATTTCTTTAGGATGGGCAACCCGTAATGCCCCTGATATTGCAAGCGTCCATAGGCTACAGTGACTGCTACCATCTGCTACCATCAGGTGGGCCGTATGCTTGTTTGCCGTCTCAGTGGTATAAAAAAAACGCGCTTTATATATGTTTGTTGCTGGCAACTGCGGCAACTAATCATTTTTTATAATTTAATTTAATTTATTGTTTATATAATTTTTTTTTCATTGTTTACATCAGTTTTCATGCAGTTTGATTAAAATACTGTTCAGTTTTTGAAATAGTTTAATTTGGAGCAAATAAAATATTACTATAATTAAAATACTTATAAAAACTTACTGATTATAAGTTTTTGTCGTATTCCAAGCTACGGGAAACATCGAGGATTGCGGGTGAACCCTTTATTTACTGGTTAGCTTACTGTTACTGAAAGAATTCTTAGAATTTGCTCCGGAACACTCTTGAGTATTATTACAATGTACAAAGTCAATATGTTTCAATATTAATATGTTGGGAGATTTGAAACATATTGTTTTTAGATTAAATTTAGTCAATATATACAGTTCAAAATAAACAAAAAGTGGGTAGCTGTTATTTATAGCTTCGATCCTGGGAATCAAGGGTAACTTCGGACTAAAATATAAAACGATCCACGATGGTATAACACCAAATTCACCATATTGCCGTTGACTGTCCACTGCTGAACATAGGCTTTCTCCATAAAGGGAAATTTTGCCAGTAGCTGTCACGTTTGGCAGTCGAATTGGCGACCGAGATAAGCCTTTGGTGATGGTCTAAGAGGGACGCTGCTTTCAATTTCTGGACCATTAAGTTCCCTTATTTGCCTCTAATTACTATAATAAATAACACCATAATCCATAGGAATGATAACGCATGAGGTGTACCACTGGCATCACATCGTCTATTCTATGAAGTTGATAGGCAATTCATGTCTATAGGCAACAGTTGCCATTTTCCATAAGATAATCTATCAGTTTGTTTGCCATTCTAAATGTCACAAAAAACTCATAACATAACTCATTTCTCTGCTTCAGCTCGAACCCGGCGATCAGATCCTTTGCGTCAACGGTGAAGACGTCAGCTTAGCAGCTCGTGAACACGTCATATCAGCAGTCAGGGCGTGCACCGAGCGCGTAACGCTACGAGTGTGCCAGCCAGCGAGGAGTGGCAACCCTATGAGAAGGTCCGCATTGTTGTCAGCAGCGAAGAGGGCAAGACTGCGGGCCAGGCCGCCTCGAGTTAGATTCGCCGACTCAGTCCAGCTGAATGGAGCGCCTATGTATCCGGTAAATATATTTTATACCCGGTGGATTTAATTTTTGTCATGCTAATTGGAATGTTAGACGAAGTGATAACCAAGAGTGGTAACTGTCATACCTCATCCTGTGCGAGCACAGAGAAGGTGATTTTAGAATAAGGGCATACGGGTATGAGACCCCGGCCTCTCGAGTCGCTGCAGTGTCCCCTCATATCCTTTCCCACATAAGTCCCTTATTCCTCTCATTTACTAACTTCCTTTACGCATTTCTAACGTTCTCTTCCTTTTTTCCTCAATCCTTTCCTCCAAACTGTAGGTCGTGGATACCTCCAACAAATGCATTCCCAAAAAGGATTGACGTCAGGTAGATGGCTGGTCGTATAATTATAAGCCAAATCCTTTACTAATATGGATAAAACCATATTATGCTGACCCCAAACAATAATTGGGATAAGGGTAGGAAGATGATGATTAGCTTTGTCAAACAAAAATACCTGTAACACTGTGATTTCCGTGATCTACTGCAGCGATTCCTAAAGTGGATTTCGCGGAACCTACGGATTCCGTAAAAAAGTCACCAAGATTCCTCGAAATTATTTATACAGTGAAACAATTTCATTCTTCTCATTAAAAGTTAAATGAAACTATAAAGTGTTTTACTTTTAAAATATTTGTAATAAAAGCTTTTGTTCTTATCTAAATTATAGTGTTTTTGATTTGTAATCGTTTGATATGGGGCTCCATAAAATAAAAGGTGTTTGGTGGGCGTTCCGTTATCTTAAAAGTTTAGGAACCCCCGATCTATTGTATTCGGCCTTTTTTCAAAGTTCGCTGCTAATTCCTGTCGGTGATAGGAACTTTATGATGTTTTAGCAATGATGTTTATCTCCCCAGAAGATTAAAGTCTTCCTGAAGGTATTATGCCTCCCCCGTTCGCACTCGGTAATTTCACTTTTTATCTCAATACGGTAGTAAAATTATTGGATGGAAGTATGAATATTTATACAAATTATGACATCTACTATAACTCTGTCTCATCCCATCATGCAATCATTGGCGTGTTTGAGATTATTTCCCAGGGTGGACTTAGCCATTTTAAATGGTGCACGTTTACTCTCAGACAAATTACAAAAATTTTGCAAACCTTTGCTCACATCCCGATATGAGCACCAAATAAGTCTAGAGTGGACAAGGCCTTCCTCTGTAAATTTTCATCATTTCAGCCGATATTCGTCCACTGCTGGACATAAGCCTCCCCCTATAGACTGCCACAAAGAACGGTCCTGAACCACCTGTATCCATTGACCACTTGCAATGCATTTCAGGTCGTCACTCCATCTTGTGGCGGATCGTCCTCTAGTGCATTTGCCCGTACGGGGTCGTTTCTTAAGAACCTTTCTTCCTTATCGGTTATCGATTCTGCGAGCTATATGACCAGCCCATTGCCACTTCAGCTTAATTATCCTTAGGCTTATTTAAATACATACATACATACAGAAGACATACCTCGGAGCGCATTCTTCGGCTCTTTATTTCCAGTTACCAGCTACTTCATTTATCGTATTGCGTTACCTAACCACATACTGTTCTACACTACACGCGCCAATTCGCAGTTCAACCTGTGACTCCAAGGATTATTGATTCAATGGCAACTAGTCTACAAGAGATATTATAAGGGTTGAATACGCGTGAATGTCGTTTCTGATGTTACTTCTCTATAAGCTACAGTAAATCAGATTGGCGGCGGTGTGGTGGGCCGGATGGTTGGGCTCCTTATAATATGGTTGAATACAGAGGGAGACTTTGTACAAAAGTCGATTGCTTGGCTACCTCTGTCCCATTCGTGTTTCAACCGTGAAGCAGCTGTGTTTGCATGGCTGTGTTTCGGTTTGAAGGGTGGGATATGGCGTGAATTTACTGGGTACAGAAGAATAACACCTTAGTCCTCAGGAATGGCAACGCATGGGGGGTATCGTGTTATGTCCATGGTACTGCTCATGCCTATAGGCGACGGTTACCATTTTCCATCAGGTGGGCCGTCAGCTTGTTTACCATTCTAAGTTGTATAAAAAAAAACTACAACGACTGGCTCATCCGTCATACTTGTGAACGCGTGGTACTAGTAGGGACTGGTCTGTTGAAGAACACCGATTGATTGTAGCTATTTTTTTTTTCTTTTTATCAATACGAAGTTTGTGATAGTTCATCCAAAAATTGTCTAAGAGCCACTCATAATTTTTTTTTTAAAACTTTCATTTAAAAAAAACAACAACAACTGTGTTTTTTGTCCGTTCTAGGAGTCTAGTCTAAAAAATGACTATTTTTATTTATTTAAAAAATTGTTTGCCATCAAGCCGGTTGGATTGTATAAAAAATGGCTTATTTATTTATTTATAAAAGACACACCAACAATATGCTCACAACAATTAAGTAGACAATGTTATAAGTAAAAGAGAAAAACTACTTTTTAAAAAATGCTTAATTCTAAGTTTACTTGAACAAAAACATCTTACTCCTCACTACCAAGCTTAAGGCCATTGTATGGCCTTAAGCTTGGTATTAAGGCTACAAAGCTTTTTTGATAATGGATCTTTTACTCATGTATGGTTTCAGCCATCGGCGTTCTCCCTCGGTGATCTATGTCTACCACCAATGGCGAATGTTCTGAAGGTGTTCCTCGAAAATGGGCAAACTAAGTCGTTCAAATACGACAGTACCACCACCGTCGCTGACGTGGTGACCAGCCTGAAGGACAAACTGTGCATAACCGCTGAAGAACATTTCAGTTTAGTGGTAGAACACGTCAAGAGTTTGAGGAGAAACAAGCTTACCCTCTTGGACCCGAAGGAGTTTTTAGCGAGGGTAAGAATTTATTTTGTATTTGCTATTAATTTATCCAATTTTATATTTAGCTAGGGACTTAAATTATTATTCTAATTTATTCTTTATTGTACACAAAAGAATAAAAACATATAAATAAAGACATTAAATAAAGATGTACAACAGGCGAGCTTAACTCCGTAAGAGTTCTCTTCCAGTAAACCCTGAGTGGAAAGGAGCATTTCCAGATATCATATAGGGATAAAATATACATGAGTTTTTAAGTTAAATCTTCAGGAATCTATTTAGGTGTAGTTTTAGCGTGATCCTGGATCAAACATACAGACAGACAGACGAAATTGTCAGAAAGGCTTATTAAATAATATTTATTGCCATACTAAAAAATTTATATAGCATACCATATCAGTCGTTAACTGTCCACTGCTGAACATTGAACTCCCCCTATTGAGATGTTTTGCCAGTAGTTGCCATGCTTGGCAGACGGGTTGGCAACCGCAGTTAGGTTTTGGTGATGTTTTAAGAGGGACGCTGTTGCAAATCCCTCTACAATTTTGTTAGTCATCTTTTATGACCCCCACGGGAATGGAAGGGGTGGCCCATTCTCTATCGGGACCACAGATCCAAATACAGTCGGTTATATTCTAAAATTTACTCATTTCCATTGCAGATTGCCGCTCGACCTGGCTCCCACAAAATGCGCTGTCTCTTCCGTGTCGTATTCATGCCTACTTCTGCAGCAGAATTGGCGCAGCGAGATCTAGCAGCTCTCGATTACCTTTACCTGCAATGTTGTAACGACGTGGCCCAGGAGAGGTTCGCCCCCGAGTTGCAACCAGACGTCGCGCTGAGATTGGCTGCACTACACATGCATCAGCATGCGCTGGCCAACAATTTGTCGCCCGCCAAACTGACAGTGAAGGCTGTTGAGTGAGTGTTTTTTTTTATACAACTTAGAATGGCAAACAAGCTGACGGCCCACCTGATAGAAAGTGGTAACCGTCGCCTATAGACATGAGCAGTACCATGGACATAATAGTCTACTGTTTCGCCCATTATACCCCCCATGCGTTGCCATTCCTGAGGACTCAGATGTTATTCCTCTGTACCCTGTAAATTCACGCCATATTCCACCCTACAAACCGAAACACAGCCATGCAAACACAACTGCTTTACGGTAGAAACACGAATGGGACAGAGATACCCAAGCAATCGACTTTTGTACAAAATCTCCCTCTGGTGGTAATTTTGAACTGATTGCACAATCTAAATATGAACTAATTAATTTCTTAATTTTCAGAAGAGAGTTCGGCTTGGAGCGCTTCGTACCGAGCGGCTTACTAGAGAGCATGAAACGCAAAGAATTGCGGCGGCTGATTGCACACTTCCTGAAACTAAACTCCCAAATGACGGGCAGTCAGCGGCAGCTGACCCAGCTGCAGGTATGTTCAACTGAAATAAAAGAAAGTTTGCAGTATAGCAGCAATGCAGATTTCTTAATGAGCGACTGCGCTATCGGTATATGCTGACACCAGGGATGATACGTGAGGATGAAAACAGGTCAGTTAGCGCATTATGGCGAATTCAATAACTAATAATGATTTCTTCGGCTCTTCCGAAGTGTCGCGTGAAGGTCATTCTGACCCTATATTGCTAGCAATGAGGTTGTTAGACCCAATGCTAATAATCCCTTTCCCCTTGCAATTCAGGCTTGGCTGTTTTATGTTACAAAGAGACAGATAGACAGATACTACATACAGAGTTACTGTTATGTTTCCAGGCAAAGCTCCACTACCTGGATATCGTGGCGGGCCTGCCCAGTTATGGCGCCAAGTGTTTCAGCAGCACTCGTCCCGAGCGGGTACTCCTCGTGTCTCCGCGGTTCGGCCTTAGCCAGATCGTTGGCAGGAGCAACTCTGTGGTCAGTGTCATCATTATCAATTATATCATTCATAGCTTGCGGTGTCCCACTGCTGGGCAATTGCCTCCCACAACCGCTTCTACCGTGCACGGTTGCTGACCAAGTCGTACAAGTCTTTTATAATCTTATTAATATAATAAAATTGTAATCTTTAAAAATTGTAATTGATAATATAATAAATGTATCTGTACATGGAAAATATTTTAGAAAATTAATATAAACAGTATTAGTACTTTGGACGACGGTTGTCACTTTCCAACAGGTGGGCCGTAGCCTTATTTGCCATTTTAAGTTACTTAGAAAAAGGCTAAGACCAATCAATGCCAAAACAAGAATTTTTAGAAATTTCTGTTATATTTTTGTTCCAATATCATGCAAAACTATTGCGTCAAATTGTATGCGGTTCACAGTTATGTTCCTGAAGGTTTAACTTAAAAATTGATCACATAGCCTCAGCCGACAGACATCTATTGGCTGAGCAATTTGCATTCTTTTTTATTTAAAAAAAATTAAATAATCATAGATGTATTTGAAAGATGTCTTCTCCATCCCAAATATATCAAATTTCGTAACGATCGCTGAGCCGTTAAAGCCAAGAGACACCAAATAAACAAACAACTTCACTTTCACATTTATAATGTTCGAAAGATTAGAACACGTTTTATTGACGTCTTGCAGCCCCAATCGATTGCCTCTCTGGAAGAAGTGGAGGGTATCAGAGTGAAGCCGGAAGGCTCTGGAAGCTCCGACGTGGCGATATTCCTGAGAAGAGACCGGGTACTAGCGCTGCTTATGGACGAAAGAGATGCCGCTGAGATGCCTTTAGTTATTGCCGGGTAATTTATCTGTTATATTACATTTAGAATGATTCTGGATTTCTTGGCATAGAGTACTTTGCATATTGTCTTTGACTCGAGTGTTGCCAACTCTTTTTAAAAGTTGCCAAGTTACAAAAGTATTTCCTGCTACTTTTTTTTTAATTATTGAAATTCTATTGCCAATTCTTGATGATCATCCTTCATGTGTACATTATCATCGTCATCATACTAGCTGTTAACTATCTACTGCTGAACATAAGCCTTCCTCTTGGAAGAATTTTGCCAATAGCTGCTGTTCATCCCTAGACCTTTAAGTTCTCTTAGTCACTTTTTATGACACCCACTAGAAAAGGAGAGGTGGCCCATTCTATACCGAAACTAAACGGCACATCAGTTCATTATTACTCTAAAATATTTCCAGATATTACCGGTTGGCTACAGGTCAAGAGCTAAATGTGGAGCAAGAGAGAGAACCTATAACGGAAGATATAGGTATGAATTATAGTAGTAATAGGTTTTATTTTTTAATTCCTCTATATTTTTTCACGCTGTAGTCGTGTAAGAAGAAAAAATATACCATAATTATTTCATTATTATTAAAAAATAGGATTTACTTCCTTGTTAATTCCAAATTATTATGTAATGAAGCTGTCTATAACATTTGTAAAGCAAAAAATAGCATGTAGGCACACGTGATTTTTTACAAATTCAAATATTTTTAAATCTAAAGTGTCTACAAAACTTTTTGTTATTCATCACTGTGTTTTCTCATAACTTAACTAGTTTATTTGCTTTAAAATATACTTGTTTATTTTTTCATTTATTTGCAGTTATCCATATTTTATTTTTATATTTTGATCTTGTCTTGATATAGACAGATATATATAAAAATAATATTGTTTATTTTCAGCTCCACCTTACTTATCACAGCACAATGTCGTGCCAGCCAAGTGGAGTTACTTGAATTACGACGATCCAAATGTTCTCGCCAAAAAACATTATGCGATCTTTAGCATGCCTCCACCGTACCATTCCACGCCGGATCAATCTAAATCTAGCTTAGATACTAACATGAATTCCAGTATTACAAACAGAAACCACAGTAATAGTTCCAGTCCCCTGATCGGCTATGATTCCAAATCAGGATTACTTGGACACGATTTGCATTTAGACAAATGTAAAAGAAACGAAGAGTTTAGATTATTCGATCCAAATGACGCTTGTTATTTGGACGACGGCATGGGTTTTGATCTTCAAAGTGTTCTGTCTATGGAACTCTTAGAGAATGCGAGCAATAACCCTAGGTTAATGGAAGCTAAAAACGAAGAAGTATTAAGAAGAGTGGCTGAAATGCAAAAGTTAGTAGAAAATTCTGAACAATATTTGACTGAAAATTGTGATGTTTATAATGATGATATGTACAATGATGGTGTATTAAGAGATGAGTTTTTAGGTAAAGAATCCAGTGTAGATCAATTAGAAAGTGATACTGAGTCGAATAATAGTAGAATGTCGGCAACCGATGATGCTCCTGGTATTTTGAAGCACAGTGATTCATTATTGCTTTTAACAGAAACTATAAATCAAGGATTAAGTGGTTTAAATGTACCAGAAAATGTGAAAGACAATAATAGCACCGCATTAACGGTAAGACAATCCCAAGGGCTTAGTGCTATCCTAAACAACTGTGGATTAACCGACGCTTTATTAGCTTTAAACAATGATCTTTGTCATTCCGAAAGTGATAACGATTCATTGTATACTCCTACAAATAGTCCCATTAGAAGACACCAAAATAAGCCAACTAATAAAATAGTTAGAACTAGTTTTGGTTTACATAGTCCAGATACAATACCAGACAATAAAGAACCGAATTTAAAAGAATATTTGAAACAACTCAGAGAAAAAAGTAATCAAGAAGATGCAAGAGCATCTGAATTTCCATTTTATTGTCAAGAAAGCATGGTTGATAATGATGTCGAGCTTATAGATTTAACATTGATACCTCCTCCACAAACCCCTGATGAACTAGACTGTGCTACGCAAGTGCCTCAAATTTTACCAGTCGTTCCAGCATCATTTGCTGACGACAAAGAACAAATACAAGAAGATAATACTGCACCAAAAACCAGTGAGCTTGAAGAATTTATAGCTAATGTTACTATACAGCCGCCAACTGTTAAAGTAACACCAGCAATAGAACTTACTCCAGAAGAAATTCTATCATATATTATTCCACCTCCACCTGGATCTAATTCATCAACTCTTGATAGGGAACAAGTAAGATACGTTAATCATAGCCAGATATTAGAAGCAAAAAATGGACAAAACGTAAATAATACCAAAGCCACGAATGGTGAAGTAGTAAAGGGAACACTAAGTGTAAGTGAAATTAGAAATATGTTTGCAGCAAAAAGTTTAAGTGATGCTCGAAATAGTCTCTTGTTGAAAGATAAAAGTAAACCACAAGCTCCTACTAAGTCTGATTCACCGAAAGGTAAAAGAAAAAGTATAAGCGGAGACAAACAGTCTAATGGTAACGCTCATGTTATAGAATATCCCACAGTTGAGAGAAAGGGTATGTTCTCGTGTTGCAGTAAAGATAAAAACAAAAGCGATGATAATAGTGATGAAACGGAAAAACTTGATAGTCAAATGCAAAACTCAGACTCGATGCCAGATGTTTGTGAAATCAGACCACCGCCGAGAAGAAAAAGTTCAGACACAAGAAAACCACCCGAGAGACCACCAAAAACACCGCCAACTCCAGCTCCACGACCTAGGTCCAACTCATTTACTTGTCTAAACAATGAGCTTACTGCCGTCGAAATTCCAAACAATCATTTTAGTACATTGAATAATAGAAAATTAAATTACAAAGTTGTATGCGAAATCAACGAGCAGAATATGCAAAATCCACCACAATTACCTCCACGATTAGAGAACAAAGCCTTGTCACCTCCCCCGCCGTTATTACTACCTCCCAAAAAGCCACCGCTACCTCCCGTACCAAGCATTGAAGTATTACGAATAAAAAACGCACAGAAACAATCACCTATAAGAAACCCAGAGCAGCGTCTTGCAAGTATAGGCTCGCCACACTTTCAGCGTAACCTCAACACGTATAAAAATCTCGAAAATGAGAGCAGAGCAATGGATGATGAGTCGCTGAATGTGAGATCATCTCAAAATTACAGTTCGATGACGTTGCAAAGCCGACACGTCCGTTCGAATTCCGAAACCAAGAGCACAATATTAAAGAACAAGGAAATATCGACGGCATTGTCTCTGTGCTCGCCACAGATGAACAGACGGTTTAGCAACCGGCCCGACCTGCTGAATGGTGCTCCCGGGAACGACTCTAGAACGTTCAGTCCGCCATTATCAGAGCGCAAGTCCTTTCGAAGAGATAGCGCGAGTCCCACACCGAAAACACAGAATCACGTGAGATTTAAAGAGGACGTTGTAGATGATATCCCGACCCCTCCTTCACCCCCTACGGTGAAGTTTCCAGAATTCCAAGCGGGGAACAATGGGCACGTATCGATTGAGAACCTGCTTTGTAAGACTGAAGTAGCTGTCGATGGTCTCCTGCAAAGACTGCACCAGGTGGCGCAAAAGTGCTCCCATCAGCACGCGCACGGCGGAGGGGAGGATATTGATGAAATAAAATTCCAGGTGAGTCAGTGTTGCTAGTTTCATTCAAATTGTGGATAGTTTAATTAATTTCTCAATTATATGAGAAGGCTACATGCAACAGAAGCACTTTTTGTGTGTTTTACCGACCACGTTAATGTAACGATTGGTGATTGGCATTTTGCAATGTTTACGTATTCGATTCCCGAATTAGGCAACAAACATTTATATATACCAACTGATTTCCGCATTTTGCTCACGTGAATCATTATGAATCTGTGTTAAAAAAAATTTGTTCAACCTTTTAAAGCAGAAAAACGTAATGGAGTAACATATATCCAAACAACAGCTGTTTAAATGTTTGTTATGTATTCACACTTTTACGCGGGCGTTTTTTCTGTGTACTATATTTACTATATATTTACAAAAAACATACATTATCGTATATTTATTAATTGTCGAATATTCTACGAATAATAATTTCTGTTTGCCTTTTACTGTAATAATAAAATTTATAATTAATTTAGAGCTTTATTTGTACTTGGTTTGGGCTGTACCTCCCAGCTTAGATTCTCGGTTGAAGCAAATTAGGAGACAAAATTTTCTATGTATATTAGCTCGGGTCGAGGTCTTCTGTATTGTAGCTTCCAGATATTTTTGTTCTATTGCAGGTATAAATAACATTGTATCATGTATGCTTATCGATTACCAGCGCGCGCGCAGCGAGCTGACGTCCTGCGCGGTGTCGCTAGTGGGTGCTTCGAGGGCACTCGTGGGGGCACTAGGTGCACCGCCCCCCTCCGCCTCTCCCGCGGTTACCGGGCCGCCCCCCGCTGCTAATGTTACCGCCCCCGCCGCCCTCGCTGACTGCCTCACACCGCTCAGAAGACTCGCCGACCTCTCTCAGGTACAATTCAATTAAAGTTCGAATTTCGCCCTTCTGACGTTCATGCTTATTTTTTGTTTACAACGCCATCTAGTATGATAATGCGCTTGTTACTGATTGATGGTGTTATAAGTTGAAAATCAAGGTATGACAGAAATCCAAGATATACAGTTAAAAATTTGGAGTATATATATCATCCATTCATCGCTGAACATAGACCTTCCCTATCTGTGGGTGTCTTCAACACACAACTAAAATTTTTGATTTTGATGGTAAAAAAGCACTTGGGTACTTCAAAAGCAAGACGAATTAGTTGTTAGAACTAGTCGAAATGCAAACTCAAAATAGGTAATTATTGTAGAGTTGTGTTTAATCTATTACCATAAAAAAAAAATATTAACCATAGTGTGGTCACAGCATAAAATAGAACACATTACCCCTTCCTTTCCTGTGGGTGTCATAAGAGATGTCTAAGGGAGCTTAATGGTCGAGGGATGGACAGCAGCGTTCCTTTTATATCATCACCAAAACCTAACTGCAGTTACCAGCCCGCCTGCCAAGCGTGGCAACTATTGACAGACCTCTCTTATGAGCAGTAGACGGTTAATGGCTATGAATGAATGGATGAAAATATTTTTACTTAATAACTTTTTTGCCTTTTCAAACACCAACAGAAATAGTTCTTTTCTTTAGAGATATCTAACTACAATTTTATGAAAACCTACTTTCCAGGCACTCGGCAGACACACATCCGCACCACTACAAACGAGGAACCTCGTGCTTCGAGTCCACGACGTGACAGCAGCCTTCAAGGAGCTAGCCGGCGCCGAAATGGCACAAATAATACACGACCACAACCTGAAGAAAACTCATATGCAAGACCAAGACACCAATTCCACGCTAGAAGGACAACTCGCTCTAAGAGCTGAATGCTTAGCAAATGTATTGGCTACATTGCTTAGAAGTTTACGAGTATTTTCGCCGTAAATTATTACGCGCCAAAATTATTGGAGGTTAGAAAAAAAAGTATTATCTATGCAAAGATGGCTGCTCATAATCATAGGGTAATTATTTTTTTTAACCAATGTCGTCGGGCTATATACATCCATAATATAGATTAAAATATATTTTGTTCGTTTGTTAATTACTTAGGTGTTTCTGTTGAAATATAACCGTTACTAAAATGAGACCAAATAAAATTAGGTACACTTGTGTATAATAGTTGGCTACGCATTATGTTTAGTTCGTAGTTTTGTAAATTTTAATGTGAGTTAATGTTTACATATGTTGTTATACACGATTTTGTAGCGTTATTTTTAATCTGCGGATATTAGAATCACGCAACTTGAGCCACAGATATTCATAAGTACTTAGTATAAATATTTTTCAAAGAGAATCAAATTTTATATGTAAAAACTTATTTATACACTAAATAAAGTACATATTGTGAACAGGGATTTCGCTTACTTTTTAACTGATATTATTTTCAAATTCTATTATTATTTCATTTCTTTATAAGAATAAATAACACAATAAAAATAGTTTTCTAACTTTTTACCAACGCAATATGCGTAAAATAACAAATAACCTAAAAATGTAGCGTGCTGTGGCTCTAGTTAAATTGAATTTCTAAAATGCTGGTACCTATGTTGTGAAAAAAGTTAGTCTGTTAGATGTTCTTTTTTCAAATTAGTACCTACCAACTATTTTTGCTTTTAATATTCCGTAGGCGAAACGTTACCATAGAGTTTAATTAATTTTATCACATATCTATTTACACGAGAGTTTTACTGTATATTTCTGTATTTAAGAACGTGTGATCAGATGTAAGGGTGCAAACTTCGATACTAAACTAATCATATCTCAACAACCATATCTCAGTGTTTAAAAACACGATTTCGATTGAAAACATTTCAAACTAGAACATCGTAAAAATGCCGCGCAAAATTTTTATCATTGTGTTGGCAATTTCGTTTTATAAAAAAAAGTATAATGTTGCCAGCAATCGTTTTTTGGTACACGCGATGTGCTGATATTAAAATATTGGTGCTATTTTGGAAAAGTGTACGTTTTTTGTATTGTGATTGTTTAAAAATAACCTGTAATTATGTTTTAGATGACGTCTATATCATAAGATGTCATAATGCACCAGTGATTTGATTTATATAATATAAATAAATAAACATAAGGTTGTTTTTTGCAATGCAATAATTTAATATAAAAATACATTTTACCGCTAATATGTTATAATGGTTTACGTGTTATTTAACTATTCTCGCCTGCTAAGTACAATTTTGTTTTTTTTTTTGCACGAATTCCAAAGCTTCTGTACAGTGACCAAAGAGATGAGAATTTTTTTTTTTTTTGTTTTTACCGAATATTTCATTTTCTCTTCGGCTTGATATTCTTCCACATAAACAGATTACATAACATATTATAAAATATATACTAAATAGATTACTCGTCATGTTAGGCAGATACACATATAAAAGTTCTATTTTTCTGTTAATGTGTTTAAAAACAACTATGTATTATATATATTATATTAAAATAACAAAACACTAAAATAGCACTTAATTTATACCAAAATTTATTTATTTTTTATAGCTGTAACACTATTTTTTGTAGGGGCAAGTTTTATTATTCGTTTACCCGATGTGTATCGTGCTTTACATGTACCAACATTTTAATAAAAAAAATACATAGAATTATATACCTACATACAAGGTAACATTGTATCACCCCAATTTATTTATTGTTCAAGATAATGCAATGCATTTGATGTAATAAAAATCTTATAAAATAATATACTGGTTTTATTATAAAGTAGCTGTCTGTCCGCTACTTCGTTCACGTGAATTTCATAAGTCGGAAAACCAATGAAACAGTCACGACACTTCTAGTTGTCGTGTCAAAATAAAACATATACCTGTGGCTAATGGCAACCCTAAAAAGCTGAAGCCAAAGTAAAAAAAAATATTTCTTTTTTTTTTTACATACAGCAGTTTTTAAGTTAGACCTTCAAGAACACAACTGTGTAACCACATCCAGTTTAGTGCAGTAGTTTTTGTGTAATATCAAAATAAACATATAGACAGAATATTGAAACTTCTTTGTTGTTAATATGTAAATATTATATTTTGTTTCTATTTAAATGGTTTCATAGAAACAAAATATATGCATATTATACTTTGTTTCTATTCAAATGCTAGCCTTCTCTTATATCTGTACGTACAAAATATGTTTGGTAATATAAAAAAAAAATGTATTTCCATTACAACAAAGAAAATTACTAAAACAATTTTTCGTATCTCTTAATCTCTTGTGGTACCCACATATTTTTTTCAATGGGTAAAAAATGGCATTATAACCCCGTCTGCGCCTGGTATACACTGGCGGGGCACCAGTGAGAGATGATAGGTGAGGATGAAAAGCAGGTCAGTTAGCCCATCATGACGAATTCAACGTTAAATAAATCACGATAGTTTCCAGGGGGAACCGCGTGGAAATCGACCTGATACAATATATTGCTAGCAATGGGATTTTCAGTCTCCATTACTGACAATCTCTTTCCACCAGTACCCACATATTAATATTTCTTAAATGTCTATCTATCTGTAAAGACATCTTGTTTTGACATCTATTGAGGTGATAGACTTGCTATATGGTCCCGGCGTAGAATAGGCCACCCCTTCCTATCCTGTGGGTGTCGTAAGAGCCGACTAAGGAGGTCAAGGGATGGGCAGCAATTTCCGTCTTAAAACATTTCACCAGAGGGAGATTTTGTACAAAAGTCGATTGCTTGGGTACCTCTGTCCCATTCGTATTTCAACCGTGAAGCAGCTGTGTTTGCATTGGTGTGTTTCGTTTTGATTGGTGGAATATGGTGTGAATTTACTGGGTACAGAGGAATAACATCTGAGTCCTCAGGAATGGCAACGCATGGGGGGGTATCATGGGCGAAACAGTATACACTGTTATGTCCATGGTACTGCTCATGTCTATAGGCGACGGTTACCACTTTCCATCAGGTGGACCGTCAGCTTGTTTGCCATTCTAAGTTGTATAAAAAAATTCTTAAACCTGATTGCGGTTGCCAATCCGCGTGCCAAGCGTGGCAACTACGGGCAAAACCCCCCAAGGGTGAGGATTATGTTCAGCAATGGACTGTTAAAGGCTGGTATGATGATGATGAGGTGCTAAATATTAATTTTCTTAAACATCTCCCATGTGGGGGGAAAGGGATTCTTAGTAATGGAGACTGAGAATCCCATTGCTAGCGATATACCCAACCAGGTCGACCTCCTTGCGGTTCTCCCTGGAAACTATTATGATTAATTCCAGATGAATTCATCATGATGGGCTAACTGGCCTGTTTTCATCCTCATCGATCACCATTCACTGGTGCTCCGCCAGCGTAACCCGTTAGCGCAGACGGGGTTACCATACCATTTTCATCCAATAAAAAAACATCTCCCATGTACTATAAACAATGACTAATTATAATTTTGTTATAATGGTAAGATATTTACTGGATTTCAAATGTAGTAAAACTAATTAAATAGGCCGCTTCTAGATCATGTACACTAACTAGATTGTAAGTTAAGTTTAAACCTTCAAGAACATATTTTTTATTTATTTATTTTTAGATAACTTGGATCCATTTTTGTTAGTAAGTGTACTTAAAAATTATGTTAATACTTAATCACTAATAATGATCTAATCCTCTCGGCGAGCATTCTCACGAGAGGACTATCTAATTTATTAACAAACATGTTCAGGATACTGTTGCTACTCCCGCGTATTAGGGGGGGGGGGGAAGGGATTGTTAGCAATGGAGTTTGACAGCCCCATTGCTAGCAATATGCCCTATTAGGTCGACCTCCAAACCAACCCCCTGGAAACCATTATGAGCAATTCTTGTTGAATTCGTCACGATGGGCCAACTGACCTGCTTCATCTTCACCTATCATCCTTCACTGGTGCCCCACCGGTGTATACCGATAACGCGGATGGGGTTACCATTCCATTATCATCCATTAAAAAAAAACTCCCGCGTATTCGACGTAAAAACGAAGCTGTCTTTTTACGCCAGACTGCGTCAAAACTATCTGTGCGAGCGTCGGCAAACATCGCTGAGGCGCTACAGAAGCGCGGGAGCCGCAACAGCAACCTGGAATTATTATTAAATCGGATACGCAAGGCATTGCAGGCATCTCGAGTATACCGGAACCACTGACTCGCCGAATACAACGATGCACGATACGCTTTAAATAGTGTTATTTTCACCGCATTTGTACATCGCGCAAATCGGCGGGACAACATATTGGCGCGGACCGACAAAGCCCTCCGCTCCCTCTCCATATCTACATCGCGTCTAAGGTTGGCGGTAACCAGGTGACCAAGATATTTAAATTGATGCACTCTTCTAATTGGAACACTATTCAACATAATAGGAGGTATATATGTTGGACACTTAGTACTCGCCCTAAAGATGACAACCGAATCTAATTTGGTGCAAATAGTTTTTTTGTAGTGCCGGAACAAACATTCATTTTTCTCAAGCATCTCCCATGTACAGATATCGTCTAGTTTACAATATAAATGGTTTGTTATATAAGCAGCGAGTAGATGTTTGTCATACGACTGGACTGCATCGCAATTTTCACACGATACCTTTCAACCGGTTCGGTTAGAACAAACACGATTCTGATCTACCCGATAAAGTAACGGTTCCGTACGCCATATAAATCATATTCATTCGTATCACATACAACGCCATCTATTGAAAGTAATTCGAACTAGCGATTCCCATACAAAATTACTTTTGATTTTTCGATTTTTCACTTTTAAACTTTCCTGTAACAAACAACAAAGGAACAAAACAAAGTTTCCCACAGAAAAAAATATCCAATTCTATTATAACAAAATTAGTTATTTTTGTTATCTGAAAACTAAACCACTAAACCGATTTTGATTAAATTTCTATGGGAACTGGGGGCCTACCATGAAATGTTTTCCGAAATTTCGGAGCCGAACGAAACACAAATTTGATGTTAAAATTACATAATACATGCCGTTTGGAAATATTTAAAATGTTAAAATATTGTTCCTTTGGACTTTTACGATAGGATGCATGACGAAAGAAATGTTAAACTCCATTTATTGGTCCGATGTTGGTATGAACAAAAACACGAAATTGAGTCCGAAATTTCGAAATTTCATTTCATGGTAGACCCGCAGTATGTATATCCTTTCAGATCAAAAAAAAATTCCAAATCGGGTTAGAACTAATGGAGTTATAAGGTAACAAACATAAAAAATACAATCGCATTGAGAAACTCTTTTTTTTAAGTCTATTGAAAAATATTCAAATCGGTCAAGCCGTTTTTGATATTTTTCGAAACGAGAGAAGATAATTATAATACTTGAATAAGTATTTGATGTGTATTAAGTTGAAATATTGTTATAAACATGGTACTATGTACCTATATTGAACTGAATATCTAATTCTGGCTTACCATTTCGCTTTTGTTCATAAAAAAATTAACAAGCATACAGTCTAACAATAAACGGTAACCGTAGCCTGTGGACGACAGCAACACCATGGCTGAACAAACCTTAATATATCAGTGCTTTGCTCTTTTGAGGGCGAAGCAATAAACTGAGTTGTGGCCATTTTGTATTGCTATGGCACTCTCACAAACGAAAATTGCATTTGGTTTTGTGTATTTTTTTGTCATTTATGTTATCTCGCTTTTTTTTGTGTATGTATGTTGTAATTTGTGTGCTGTAAGTAATGCAAATAAAATTATCTATCTATCTATCTAATATGTCCTTTTAGAAGACTCTTTTCTTTTGGTGTCTCGTTGGACTAGGTTCTAGGATTTATACTAACAACTGACCTCTCCTCTCTAATTCTGAAACATTGCCTTGCAGCTGTCCAAAAACTTAGATTACCAGTTGCCATCACAGAGGCTGTATGTTTTTTTATGATTTAATGACGACTATTTGAATGACGAACTAGCGAGGTGTTAGTCAATCATGCACGGGCCAAATGATGGATTATTTTAGATATAGTACCCAAATATCTTAGTGTAATGACAACCGGATTAACTTACGTGTATTTTAGTTGCTCGACTAGTTTCAGGACCATCCGGGGCCCTTAGTCATGAAAAGGGGGTCATGGTTTAAACCGGTCATTATTACATTAAAATGTAATGTAGGTACTTACAAAACTTCTAAAGATAGAATACAAATACTGTTAATTAAGATTTACAAGAGTAACTGTTGAGTTGTTGTTCCCAAGGAACCCTAAGCAACTAGTTTCAATTACTACACGTACCTGCCCATGTACAAAAAGATGATCGAACCTAGACTTTAAAGTCATGAGTCACACTGTAAGATATAATATGTATCTATTTTTATCTTCCAGAGTGAGACCTTGTATAAACCTTTCTGCATTTTTTTAATGGATGAAAATGAAATGGTATCCCCACCCGCGCTAACGGTAGAATAGTGAAAAGATTTATTGCCAGAAAAACACAATTACAACAGAAAATACACATATAAGAATTGTCTCACATTAGATAAAAGGAACTGGCTCAGCTGATGCTGCGAATGTCCCAGTGCAGTGTGTACAGCTGCACAGCGCTGGTTTTCAGCCAGTCCCTCTCTTAATGAAATACAAAAAAATGCAAATGGATATAACTGAAATTGACTTTTATACGGTATATACTGGCAGTGCACCAGTGAGGGATAATGAAAGGGTAAGTCAGTTAGCCCATCATGATGAATACACCTGAA